TGGCTCTGAAAGACTTTCTTTTATTTTTGTTTTATTGGGATGGGGTCTCACTCTGTTGCTCGGCCTGGAGAGCAGCGGACAATTTGTGGCTCACTCCCAGCTGGAGCAATGCTTCCATCTCAGACTCCCAGTAGCTGAGAGTACAGGCATGCTCCACCATGCACGATTGTTTTTAAAATTTTTTGTTGAGACGGGATCTCCCTATGTATCCCAGGCTGGCTTAAGCCCCCATGCCTATCCCTGAACCACTTTTTTTTTTATCACAGAAAGGAGAACAAGACAGAGGAGGAAGGTGCCTGTAACTGCTCCCGGGAAACATTGTGTCCTCCTCCTTGGTGCCACGTTATTTCCTTTGTAGCGAACGCACTATTCCTATTCTTTTAAAGGTAAATAAGAAGTTCGAGGATACTTCTTTTCCATCCTAAACTCGTGGTTTATCACGACAATGTCATAACCTACTTTGGGGATATTTTGGGCTTTCCCAAGTGCAGTAGTGTTTTGCTGGAATGATTGGTAGGAGCTACTGGCATTTGGGGACTGTTACAGGGAGGCAAACATCTTTTTCCAGTCTTTAATAAACTGGATTTTCCACACATGTCACTTCTCTATAAACCGAGGGAGGCTGGAATGTTGCTTCATCTGGGAAGTCATGAAAGATTTGTTGACTGCTTTGGAAAATCACATGACTGCAGCCCATCCCATTCTTGGATCCCACTCTGACACAACATTCCAGTATCAGTTTCGCTGTAGCTCTGCATGCCTGGGGGAAACAATGAGGGGAATCCAACTCACCCAGAAACAGCATCTTTTCTGGAATAAGCTTTACCGCACACCCCAGCTGGCCCCAAAGCACTCGCTGTTGTTGCTGTTTCAGACGGGGTCTGTTGCTCATCCTGGAGTACAGTGGAGAAATCATGGCTGACTGCAGCCCTGACCTCCCAGGCTGAAGGGATCCGTCCATCTCAGCCTCGCAAGTACCGTGGGACAACATGCAGGCTCCACCACCCCTGGCCATTTTCTTTAGAGGTGGGGTGGTCCTTATGTTTCCCAGGCTGATCTGAAACTCTGGTTCAAGCAATACTCACACCTCGAACTCTCAATGTGCTGGGATTAGAGGCAGGAGCCACCTCGCCAATCCCTGAACCACTTTCTTATCACAGAAAGCCGGACAGAGGAGGAAGGTGCCTGCAAGCCCTCCTGGGGAACACTGTGTCCTTCTCCATGCCACCCTGCTATTTCCTCTGTACCAACTGCAACATTCTTATTCTTTTGATGTAAATAAGAAGTTTGAGGATACTTCTCTTCAATCCTAAACTGTGGTTTATGGCCATAATATCTTCGCCCACTTTGGGGTGTTTGGAAATTTCTACATTGATGGAATGCAAGTAGCAGGAGCTACTTCCATTTGGGGACTGAGTGCTATAGGCAGGCAAATGTCTTTTTCCAGAGTCTTCAATAAACTGGAGTTTCTATACATGTCACTCCCTGTAAACGGAGGGAGGCCCGTATGTTGCTTCATCTGGGAAATTATAAAGCCTTATTGACTACTTTGGAAATCACAACCAATTCAGGGCATTCCATTCGTGGATTCCCCTCCATCACAACATTCCACCATCAGTTTGCTTTGTATCTGTGAATTCCTGGGGAAAACAGAATAAGGGGAATCCAGTGATCCACAAATGTGCTCACTTCCAGGATAAGCTGTTAGTTGACGGGGAAACTTAAGTGGGAGGTGTTGGTAATGTGATCTCTCATAAGTTGGTGAACACACTGGCTGTGCCCATAGTTATTATTGCTGTTACAGATGTATCTCCCTCATCAGGCTCCCAGGTCCTTCCTGGAAGTTTGGAAAAAAATACCCAGTGGATCTCTGTGTCCTCGGGTTGGAACAGAAAACCTCACATACAGAAGGAGGGCAGGGAACACTTGTGGAACTGTAGTGGGTCTCTACATTGTTCGATGGCAAAACCCTGAGTTACAGTGATGAGCAACATGGATGTCAGTGGATGTGAGGGGAATGCCACAATCCTCTGCATCACGAGCTGTGCAGCAGAGTGAGAACAACCGGCAATACTGATCTCAGTTATGCACTTTAAGGTCCCAGATATAAGTAGTCTACTGGTTAGGGATCCACTGTGTGTGTGTGTGTGTGTGTGTGTGTGTGTGTGTGTGTGTGTGTGTGTGTGTGTGTGGAGAGAGAGAGAGTGATAGATTGAGTTTGAAGTCCTAGATCATGGAAGTGTTGTGACCTAGCAAGTCACATCTCAGAGAGCAGGATGTCAGGCTGGAGACCCAGGAAACAGGTGACATGAGAGCTGAAATTCAAGGGCAGTGTACAGGAAGAACTTCTTCATCTTGAGGAGGACCCCAGTCTTCTCTCTGAAGGCCTTCAAGGGATGGGATGAGGCCCACCCACATTGGGGAGGGTAATTATGTTTACCCAAAGTCTGCTGATTTCAGTGCTAGTTCACACGGAAAGAAAACCCTTCACGGAGACATTTACCCTGGTCTAGTGAACATTTCTCATGTGTTGTCACCTACCAAAGTTGACACATCAGCTATCTCAACATAGCCATTTTATACAAATTTTATTAATGATGAAGGCCTATCCAACAAAGATAGGCGACTTCCTAAGATTCTTTGTTGTCTATTTTTGTCCTGCCCAAGTGACCATTTCACACGCAGCACAAGTCTGGTAGGAAGCTGAAAGCTGATGTGGATGCCTTCCAGGGATGAGGCATAGCGGTATAGTTAGGATGTTTGTGTAAGACAGTCCCAGAGGGCACAGGTGATGCCCCTGGAACACGAAGACTTTACCCTTGTTAGGGCACCCCCAGCAGGACATACGGTCGTCAGGCAGGAGCTGGCCAATGATCCCAGTGTGGCCTCCTACTGAGGGACCTTTCCCTCTAGGGATCCTTGTCCAGTCCAAACAAGTGATTTGCACCTTTGGTTTAGGAAAACTGTCAGAAGGCCGTCATTTCAGAATAGTCATTGACATGGGTTCCTCCTCTTCACAAGCATGGATGGCATTACTGGGTGTTCTGTGTGGGATGCTTAGAAGCTGGGTCACCCCTCCTGTCCCATAGTCCCAGCTCTGTCAGGTGTGATCTTGGGTTCAGGATTCAGTGTGGTTTCAAAATGGGCCTTAGGGTGAGACTGCAGACTCCTCACGGACGGAGAAACCCACCATCTGTACTATCACTGAGTATCTCCGATTCACTGTGGTCCTATGGGACTAAGACACTGTGCTGACACAATGCTGATCTTGCCTTTGCTGTGTCTGCAAGTAGTCAACCACCTCGTTCCATTTGGGCTCACTCTTCCTACCCGCCGAATTTAAGAATATAAGACAAGCCCAAATAACAACTGCCCTGGCCATCCTTGTGGCCATGTTAGCTACCACAGGGTTGCTCAGGGACTGCGGAGCCCTTGACACACTATGATACTGAGTTGTGTGGTGTCGCCTTGCCGGAATATACTTATTATTCATAGCATCACACACACCAAACAACTTTTGGTACATACTGCTGACATAGGGTTGGCCTTGTCACAGCTCGGTTACTTACAAATCAACTTCAGAATCCATGCCCTGTCTGACACCAGCTACACTACTATTTAATTTACATATTTGAATCAAATAAGTTTCTGAAGTCAAAGGCATTTAAAAAGGTAGCTGGATATTCCTACTTGAAATTCCAAAGCAGTTACGACATACTAGAGATATAGTTGTAAAAATATTCAATGAAAATATTTGAAATGTTAAAGAGATTAAGGAAACATGACTCGTAAATTTATCTGCAATGTAATGCCTGCTTCCTATGTTATTTCATTTATTATTCACGGCAAGTAGTGTAAATACTCTAATTTCTACTTTAGAAACGGGGAAACAGTCTGACAGGATGTAAGTGTCTTGCCCATCGTCTCAAAGCCAGTGTGTGAGAGGCACGATGGAATCCCATGGCTGTGTCATGCCATAGCCTGTAAGGAGACAGCGTAGGTAGGATCCAAGTAATTTTGCTTCAGCAAGTTTCCCTGGTTGCTTTCCCCTTTCTTCTACCTAAGCCCTAGTTCCTTCATCCAGGTCTATAACCTAGATAATCTCACATATTTTGTGGCAATGGCGTTATCTTAACAAAGGATGCAGATAAAGACATACATAGCGGAAGGAATGAAGGAAGAGGCATGGGCGCTTCCATGGCCTCTATGGGCATGTTATCCTCCAGGTGTTTGGCTAGGCAGAAGCTCTCGGAACCCTGTTTTTGGGGGTTTTGATGGAGGTTTTCATTCTACAGGTGTGATTGTTAACCTGTTCGCCTGCCATTAGAAATCAACTTAACCCCAGCCCCTCTACCTGTTCTGAAGTTTGAGGATGGGAATGAAAGTCCCAATCCTCTAACCCCCCATCCTAGAGCTACCTAGGAGGTCACAGCCATCTGTCAACTCACTAGCATACAAAAAGACATCACTATGCAAACATACTAAAAATTGTAGGAGTTGTGTGATGGTAAGCAGGTTCCAGGACCAAGTATTTATTTCACAATATCACACATGTGTATACCAGCTCAATCAGAATGCAAAGTTGTAAAAATGATACTATTTTTTTATTCAGACAAAGTCTCATCCACCCAGGCTGGAGTTGCGGTAATGGGAACCTGACTACCTGCATCCTCGACTCCCTAGGCTCAAGGAATCCTCCCACCTCAACTACTAGAGTAGCTGGAACTACACCTACATACATACATGCATAACATGCATGCATTCATTCATTTATTTTCGTTGAGAGGGGGTTTTTCCATGTCGCCCAGGCACATCTCAATCTCCCAGGCGTAAACCATCCTCCTGCCTCCACATCCCAATAAGCTTGGACTACAGGCGTGAGCCACTGCATCTGGCCAAAAATTCCAATAGTGTCTAATATATGAGAATAAATGAACAAAAGATGTGCAATACTTCTTTGACGAAAACTGGAAAGATTTATGGAGATTTTTTAAAGTAAAATATCTCGGATGAATTCAGTTTGCATTCTTTCAGCTTGTCTTCGTTTAGTCCTGTGGTTTCCCCTCCCCTACAACAGAAACACAACAGGAGGGAACATTACTAGCTTAACTGTATTCAGATGAAATTAAAGGTATGCAACGGACACCAAAGTTTTAGTTTTATAGAATGGACTAAAACCAGAAGCCTAAGAGTCACCCTACGGCTAACATTCGACTAGACCTCCATAGAGAGCTTGAAGATGCACTTCCAAGCAGATAAATTAGAAACAGTTTTAAAACACACCCTGCTTTTAGTGCTAGAATGAAACCAAAGACAGTTCAAGTCAGAGCACATTAAATCAAGTGAACCTATTAAAAGGGGCTTAAAGTAGATAGCAAACATTGTGTGGAATTATACTCAGAATACAACCAGAACACAAAGAAAACATAAGAAACAGAAGGAATTTCTGAAAGAACTCCTTCAGAAGAAATGTATAATTTAAGGTTTTGGCTTGAAACTATGGTCTGGATGTCCAATAGGCTCCTGCAAATAGTCTGAAAACTATCTTTTGAGAAAACAGTTCATGTCACATTAGGAAATAAATAAGTGAAGTGAACAGAAAGGACAGTATCGTGTTTGTTTTTTCTCTATGGTGCAGAAGTGCATAATATTGCCTTGAACCAGTTTCCCCTTTTTTGTTCTTTTTTAATGTACACTAACCATTTGCAACCGGTTTTCACCTATAGTCCTCATGTCAATATGAATAATGACACACTTGTCACCGAAAAGTATTCCAGTTTGTATAATTAATAAAATGATCATACAAGTTTTAAGGTATCACTATTGTGACTGATATTAAAATGTGAATGAGTTATCATAACCAGTGTGGAAAGAACAGTAATGGAGACCGAAACAAAAAAGAAGAGTTAGGCGTCTGGAAAAGCTAAATATTTCCTTCTGAAAGTATCTGCTTTTGAGGGACAACTGGCAAATTTCACAAGCTCTTCCACAGTCTTTGCGATGCTCAGAAATTCGGGCATTACATGAATATATTAAATAATGTATGTGTTCCTAGCATATCAACCATTTCATCCACACACTCTGAAAATATTAGTGTTCAAGAATGTATTCCCTTTCAATGACGCCCTACATTCAACACCTGTGTCTTGTTCATATTCCATGTTGTGCCTTTTCCATTTTCTTCAAGATTGTTTAATCTACTGGATGCTCTCTTCCTAGCTATTTCTAAAAAATATCTATTAAATTTATGACTTTCAGATTAGTTTTCCTTTTGTTAATGGTTCAAACCTTTCATTTATTGTCTGTTTCCTTTTCCCTTAAGTTATTCTGTGACTCATTTATTATTTTTTCTTTCTTAATATTATGCTGTTGTATCATGTAATTTGCTATCTATTTTAATAAGACATATAATTAATGCTATGACTGTCCTAAGAATCCAACTGAGGCTTGTCCAGTGGGCTCCCGGAAATTGTCTGAAACCAATCTTTTAATGCAAATAGTCTAATGGAGTTGTTCAGCAGTGTGGAATACAAACGTTTAGGTAACTTCTCCCCTAAACATGCAGTGCTCCCTTTAAATTCAGAAGTTCTTCTAATTAAGTCAGCAATTTGGAAAAGATGTGTAAAGATACCTATGTTGACTTCTCAGGACTTAGTACATCATAGTCTTTGAAGTTTAAATCGTATCATTTGAAGACTCAAGGCAGAAATCTGTAATATATTACCTCTGATACGGTTCGAGGTTACCATATGTGTCTTCGATCTAATTACACACAACACAATAGCTCATGAAGACTGACAGGAGGGCAGCGAGCATGCCTAGCACAGGCATCTCACAACCAGCTTGAACATCACTGATTACATGCATGATCCTTACTTCATGGGCCACAAAACGTGACTGTCTCTTCCATTTCATTATTCAGTCATTCCAGGCTTCACTGCAAGAAGACTTTAGAATGCAATCATTGGGTCCTGCAAGGGAAGTGGCTCACGCCTATAATCCCAGCACTTGGGAGGCCAAGGCGGGTGGATCACTTGAGATCAGGAGTTTGATGCCAATCTGGCCAACATGGTGAAACCCCGTCTCCACTAAATATACAGAATTAGTCGGGCCGTGGTAGCACACACCTGTATTCCCAGCTACACAGGAGGCTAAGGCAGGAGAACCGCTTGAACTCGGGAGGTGGAGGTCACAGTGAACAAATATTGGACCACTGCATTCCACCCTGGGTGACAGACTGAGACTCCATGTGAAAAACAATGCAATCATTGTTTAAGAGCCTGAGAGAATTCAGGATTTGACAAAATCCAAGAAAACTCATGAAGGTCTCCATGCAGGTAAACAACATCAAGCAGAGTTTCTGCTCATTATCTTAGGAGCAATGAAATCTCAACTTGGATATTAAAATTGGACTGAAGCTGACTGTTATGATAAACAAATCATGAACATCAGAATATCTTTGTGTTCTCTCCAAGAGAATCAGAGCATACAGAAACCAGCAATGAAGTGGATTTTAATCTACCTGATGTGCATTCAGTACTTTCAATAAAAGTAAAAACGGGTGTAGGATTTATGTGATTTGTCCAGAGCTGGTACTAGAATCTCCTTCAGGGTCAGCATATTTCATACAAGGTGATATTACAAATGTATTATGCATTTGAGAAAAGCAGAGCTTAGAAAATATTCTGAAAACTGTTAGCTGTTGGTTATACTCAGAAGAAAATACTTTTCTATTTGATGATTCAATATGACTTTGACCCAATTTCTGCTGTAGCTGATGATGTTTCCGTTTTGCAGTCAGGCTTCTGGGGTCTGAACTACCTTCCAGAGAAAGTCTGTATTTGAACTCTGTTTTTCAAGGGACAGTAATGTTCTCTCTTTCTGTTATCAAAAGTGTAGTACTGTGTAATACAGACAGCATGTAAGTTTGAATCTTAATGGATAACATACCTCCTTCTGGCATTTTAAACTGCTCTGATTTTGGCATACCGTTTCCCTGGACCACAGGACCATCTTCATATTCATCCCCAGTCTCTGACTCAGACAGCTCCTGGAGATCAGCTTCCAGGTCAGGCACTAAAAAATTCAAAGGATATAGACTAGAGCAGCCAAACAAGAATGATAAAGAAAGAAATGATCATATTCTTTTCCTCAGCGTTATGCCATAAAAGCCTGTAGGCTACTGTGGTAATAAATGTGATGCAAAGATGTCCCACCTTTGCTTTCCTGTATTATATCTTATCTTAAATGACAATCTGAGACAAATCACACCACACCTACATTTCCCATAGTTTAACATTGTATATTATAAACACACAGCTACCTAGGAAATCTGAGGACTGCCCCACGGATTGCATTGAACACATTACTCTGTGATAGAGCTGGTACCACTGAACACATTAAGTGAGGTGAACCCACTAAAAAGGGGTTTAAAGTAGAAAGCAAACACCGGGCATACCTCTACTCAAAATATCAGCACCACACAAAAAAACCTAAGAAACAAAAAAGGAAACGTACAAAGACATGTACAATATTTTGCAAATGTTTTTTTTAATGTTCTGGCTTGAAACTATGGTCTGGATGCCAAATGGGCTCCTGGAAATAATCTGAAAACTATCTCCAAAGAAAATGGTTAATATCACCTTAGGAACTGCAGATATGAAGTGAATAGAAGGGCCAGTATTGCCTTAGTTTTACTCTACTGTGCAGAAAGGCAAATATATTTATCTGGGAGAGTTTACCCTTCTGTACTTTTTAAGGTATGGGCACCATTTGTACTAAGTTTTCTACCATGCTGTCAACATGAATAATGCTTCTTTTTACACGTGAAAGTATTCCCGTTTGTATAATTACATACATGGTCACATTACTCGTAAGCTATCACTATCAGTTTTGTCATCTATATGTGATAGCATTGTGAACTGTGTCACGCACGACCAAATGGAGGGATATGCAAATGGGAAACAAGAGTGAGATATCTGAAAAAGCCAAAATTTGTTTCTAAAAGTAAATGTTTTTGAGGGACACCTGGCAAATTTCACAGTTTCTTCCAGAGGCTTTGTGATGCTTAATCAGGTATTACAGAAATATATTAAATGATGTACGCCTTCCTAGCTTATCAACCATTTCATCCACACTCTGGTGAATTCAAGATTGCATTCACTTTCAATAATGCCCTTCATTAGATCACTCTGTCTTCTTCATATTCCATGTTTTGCTTTTTCCATTTTCTTCAAGATTATATAGAACTATTGAATACTCTATTCATAGCTACTTTTTCAAAAGACCAATCTTTTAAATTTATTACATTTGAATTACTTTTCCTTTTACTAATGATTCATACCTGTCTTTTATTCACTACCTCTTTCGTATAATCTTAAGTTTACTCTGTGGCTCTTTCATTATTATTTCGTAGTATTATTTTCTTGATCATGTAATGTGCATTTTATTTTGCATTTAAAGCTATGATCTCCCAAGACTACGACTGAGGCTTGTTCAATAGGCTCTGGGAAATTGTCTGAGAACTGCCTTTTAATGTAAATAGTCTAATGGAATGGTTCAGCAGAGTACCGTAAAAACATTTAGGTATTTTCTCCTTTAAACATAGAGTGTTTCCTTTAACTTCAACAGGTATCTTAATTAACAGTCTCCCATTTGGGAAATATGTGTAAAACAGACTTATGTCAACTATTCAGGAACTCGCACATTACTGTTGTTGAACTTTAAACCCTATCATCTAATGTCTCAAGGCAGAAACCTCCAATATGTAACCTATGGTGTGGTTAGAGGTGACTCTACTGGATGAGTCTTCAATCTAGTTACACGCAGTAGCTCATGAAGACTGACAGGAGGGCAGGGAGCGTGCTTAGCAGAAGCATCTTACAGCCACCTTGAGCATCACTGACCTACATGCATTCTGTCTACTTCATTGGCCACAGAAACCTGAGGATCTCTTGCCATTTTCTTATTCAGTCATTCAAGACTTCACTGTGGGATGCCTTTAAAGTGCAATTATTCTTTAAGAGTCTGAGAATTCAGAATTTGACAAAATTCAAGATCACTCGTACAGGGCTCCATACAGGAAAACAAACATCAAGCAGAGTGCCCGCTCATTTTCCATGGCCCCTAAGGGCCATGAAATCTCAAGTCACATACTAGAATTGGACTGAAGTTGCTTGTTATGATAAACAAATCATGAAAATCAGAATATCTTTGTCATGTGTCTAACAGAACCAGAGCATGCAGAAATCAGCACTGAAATGGATTTTAATCTAGCTGATGTGCATTCACTCTTTTCAATAAGACCAAGGATGTGTGTGGAATTGATACGATTCATCCAGGGTCTCACAAGTTATATTAGAGCTGGTGTTAGAATCTGCTTCAGGGCTCAGCGTATCTCACACAAACTGGTATTGCAAATGCGTTATGCATTTGTTAAAAGCAGAAATTAGAAAAGTATCTGAAAATTATTAGCTGTTGGTTATACACAAACTAAGAAAATGTAGTCACATTTGATGATTGAATATGGCTTTGACCCAGTTTGTTTCTGTATCTGACAGTGTTTAAGTCTTGCAATCTGGCCTTTGGGTCTGAAAGACGTTTCAAAGTAAGTTTGCATTCGAAGTGTGTTTTTAAAATGACAGCAATGTTATGCCTCTATTATCAAAAGTATAATATTTTGTAAATGAGAAAGCACATAACCTTGCATCTTGATGAATAACATACCTGTGTCTGGCATTTCACAGGGTTCTGCTTTTGATAGAATCTTCAACTTGATGCCAGGACCAAACCTCAGATTCATCCCAGGTGTTTGACTGCCACAGCCCTTGCAGATCACCTTCCATTTCACGCACTTCAAAACACAAAGGTTATCGATTTAAGCAGTCCAACATGAAATACAAATAAGGAAATGATAATATTGTTTTCCATAGCATTATGAAACAAAGCATAGGCTGGGCATGGCGGCTCATGCCTGTAATCTCGGCACTTTGGGAGGCCAAGGTCACTTGAACCCAAGAGGTGGAGGTTGCAGTGAGCCAAGATCATGCCATAGCAATCTAGGCTGGCTGACAGATGAGATTCTGTTTCACAACAAGAAAAAAATGAAAAGAAAAAATAACTCTGTCGGTTAGCATTGTAATGAATGTCGTGCAAAGCTGTTACAACCTTTTTCTTTCTGTTTTATAATACCTGATTTTATTTTAATTGTTTTTTCAGTCAGGGACTCACTGTCATCCAGGCTGGAGTGCTGTGGCACAATCAAGGCCCACTGTGAGCCCAACGTCTCAGGCTAAACAGAACCTCCTGTCTCAGCGTCCCAGGTAGCTGAGCCTACAGGTGTCCCCCACTGCCAAGGCTAATGTATGTTTGTTTGGTTGGTTGGTCGGTTGGTTGGTTGATTCAAGACAGGACTTCTCAGTGTTGTCCAGGCTGTTGCTGGACTCCTGGGATCAAGGGATTTGCCCCACTCAGCCTCCCAAAATTTTTGGATTACATTCATGAGCAACCGCTCCTGGTCTAATGCCTTATTTTAAATAACAATCTAAATGTAAATCACGCTACACCTAAATTTCCCGTACTTTACCATTGTGTATTATGAACAGCGTGTATCAACTATGAAATCTGAAAGTCAGCCACGTGAATACCATTTTAGTCGTAAATGAGATGTAATTTTCCAAAGAATTAGATCAATGTATTGGTGTGCCTAGACAAATCTTACACTTGTGAGACCCATCCATTGTTGAGGTAACCTGGAATTATTTGGATACTTAATAATTAACTTTATGCTATGCTTAGGTCCAAGAACCATATATGTAAGTCTATATAAATGAATCTCATTCACAAAAATGTACCAGAAATACAAGCAAAACCACTGTCTTGCAGTGAGAGTACGGAAACTTGAGTGCAAAGAAATTCATGGGCATTGTTGACAGTCCTATCGGGAAACATCTTAACGGTGAATTGCTAAAATGATCGATGGCCCAAATTCTGTCAATGTTTAGCTTGAAAATGCTATCTGTTGAGGATACATTTTCCGGTTCAGGATGATCTTATCTTCTAAATATAAAAGTATTTAAACAACTGTGGGAACCCCCTTGAAAATCATGCTAATATAAGTCCTTGTATGCCAGTGTCTTGAATTATCCAACTTTTATCAAACATACTGTCAAAGGACGGATCAAAGGAAACAGTGGCTGTCATTCATTGAGCTCTTTTCTAGAGTTACTATTGTGGGAATTATGGAAAAAAATATTAGAGAAAGTAATAGAACATAGTCTCATTCCCTTTTGGAAGGCCTAAGGGTTTTTTCTATACTTCTTGGCTGAAGGCAGCCTAAATCCCCTTCACAGTTGGTTAATAAGTAAAGCAAATAGCTAGGGTATGTGCGGGAGTTAACTAACTTGTTTGCCCATGTGGTCTTAAAACTAACCTTCGAGCCGGATGGCCCTCTCAGGAGAGGTCAACCAGGGATTTTACCCTCTGATGGTGTTTGGTTTGTGCGTCCAAATCTGTCCTTTAATCTCTTCACTCAAGAGATTGGTGTTGACTCAAGTCTTTGTCAATTAAACTTTACTGACTAAATGCAAGTCTCTCTCCCTGGTAGGGACCGGTGGCTGCTATCTCTTTACAGCACACTCCAGGGTGCCTGTAGGCGGCCAGGGGCCCTCAGCTGAACTGGCAAAGCATAATATCTGTGTGTCAGTGTACTTTACTCATACTATCCTGCTTCACTGAACTGTTTTGCCCTAAGCCAATACTGAAGTACTGACAGCACAGACACAATAAAGTATTATGCATCTTAAGCAAACCACTCACTTTCAATTATTACAGCATGGATTGTAGGAAGAACAGAAGAAACCTTTCAACAAAATATGAATTCCTTCTCCATGAGTCAAGTGTTCTGTGTAAGCCTCAATCTCTGAGCCCCCATTTTCTTATTTATAAAATTAGGCTAACATCCCTTTGCAAATGGGACACATTCACAGTGTTACAAAGTTGGGTGACTTGGCACTCCACGGGCTATTAAAGGGTACTCACAACACTGTGGATACTATGGCTGAGAAGATCATACGGTGACATTCCAAGGAGATCAAATTAAACTAGTGAAATAATGTACATTCTTATACACCATTTTAAATGATTTTAAGCGATAACTATCTTGCATGTTCTGCACATGTACCCTGAAACCTAAAATGCAATAAAAAAAAGAACTCTATTTTCAAGCATACAAAATCCACCTTGAAGAAAAAGAGAAGATTCATTATATCCAGAAACTGCATGAAGCTGCAAACTATAATCTCCCCTTTCCAGCCAACTTTGAGCAAATGTTTGCTATCTTTTCCTAATGTTTTATTTCCTCCTGTTACTGCTCATGGCATAAGGCATGAGGCACACATCCACCGTCTCCTGCCCCATAGACATTCTTTCTTTCCCTTCACAGCACCTTGGGAAGGGAAATCCTGATCGTTTTATCTCTCCTGATCAGGCGTAGGATCCCAACTTTCCGTTGGTGGTTCCTCTTCTTGGGGGTCTCCATTACTGGGCTTCTGGGATTTGGTGTCTCTGTGTGTGCTGATAAAAAAGTTTTGTTACTAAAACATGTCAATAATATAAATATACAGAATACATAGATATTGCTTATTGTAAGTACATCTACAGACATTTCTCCAACACTACCCCATATACTTGTTCTTCATAATGTTATTCTTTCCTCAGAGAGGTTACACCAAGGCAGTTATCCTCAAGGACTTTGGAAGCTGTTTTAATCTATGTTGGGATGAATGTGTGTAACCTGTTATGAATAAGCATGAGGAAGAAGTTATGGACAAAATCTGGGAACACAAGATCATCCATCCACACAAAACTCAAATATAATCCTCTGGACTAGTCTTTCCTTCATGAGATGCCATGATCATTTTTTATCAGCATGAAAGACCATTATCAGTGTATCTGTACTAATCTAACAACAGATCAGAAAAATCACTTCCTGCTAAGAAAAACACCAAAGGTTAAGACATTCACAAGTAGAGGTACAGTGAGATCAGGAGGCTGTGGACTTCTTCTGAGTATAGGCCTATATGTTGATCTTCCTCACCAACACATATTTCACTCTGCAAGCAGAACAGTGTCAATGGGAAAATGCACATGACAGGACAACTGTATTTGACAAATTTCATGGTCAAATGTTAACCTGGTCATTTTTTTAAAAAATTTAGAAACACTCTGAAAGTCCAAGTGTGTGTGACTTTCAAATCCAATGCGTGCAAAGTCACTGAAGTTGGTCCAGCTAGATGAGTAACGTCTTAAGGCTCCTGGCAAAAGACACAGGGTGTTTCCCACGAGGTTGGTTTCACAACTGGACACTTCCTCAGGGAAACAAGTAGGAAATCAGAGTTAGACAATTAAAACTGCAGTGACCGGGCGTGTGACTGTAATCCCAGCCACTGGGGAGGCTGAGGCAGGAGAATTGCTTGAACCCGGGAGGCGGAGGTTGCAGTGAGCCGAGATCGCGCCACTGCACTCCAGCCTGGCCACAGAGCGAGACTCCGTCTCAAAAAAAAAAAAAAAACCTGCAGTGACCACGAATTTTGTCACACACTCATTTTCTAGGCCTACTTCCCCACAAAAATCACATTTTCAGGAACTCAGAGTCCCACCCACTAGAATCTCCACAGCGGAGTTGACAAGCTGCCACACAGCATACCTACGCCAGGCACTCTACAGACCTCGGGGCTGCAGTCACTAGCCCCAGCATTACCCGTCTCCAGGTCCGTTCCATACCACTCACCCTCCCCGGTCACCTCTGAGAAGTCTAGAATCTTCTGTGACGGTTCCAGGAGCTTCCGGGATTCAGATACCTCCAGCAGCACCCCAACAGCACCCCAGCTTCACCTGAACCCCTCCACTCCTCGGCCCTCCTTCCTCCTTAGTTACGGCCCAGACAAGACAACACAAGCCCATGGCCATGGCGCCGCAACAGAAGGACGACGACTTTGAGGCCCTTCTCATTCGGAGTCACCAACCACTCTGCTCGACCCTCCTCCCGAAGCCTGCTGGCTCCTCCTCACTCTCACTCACACTTCAACTCTCAGTTGGATCAGTTTGTGGACCTACCAGCTGCGTCGCAGTAAGAGAGAAAGAATCCACACCTCAGGGACCCGAGCTGCAGTCTTACGCGGTCTTCACCAAATGGGCAAAGGGGCCTATGGGAAGACGCTCAGTGAGCATGCGCACTGAGTCGGGAGTCCCAGGAGCATGCGCAGTGAGGTCCCCTCTTGCCTTAAGGGCTATGGTGCCCCCTCCTTGTCCTGCCTCACTCTGTCCTGTGCTCCTTCCCAGGTCCTCTCTAATGACTTTGGAATCCCTCCTCTCTGTGTGTGAGGTTTTTTTTGGTTTGCTTTGTTTCTTTGCCTCCAGGACTCAAATACTTGATATAATGTCACCCTTCAAAACTCACTCCATGTTAACCTGACCCTCCTCCTATCTGTGGCCCTCCTTCTTACCATGCCTGGGACCCCACAACGGCAAGGCCATGGCGGTATCACTGACTTTTAGCAGAAAGACGATGACCTCAGAGGCCATGGACCCACAGGAAGCCCTCCCACTCCCCCTTACACTCACTCACAGTTCAACTTCTGATAGGACTAATCTGTAGACATAATGGCTACGTCGTAGTCAGCAAGAAAGAAGGAAGTCATGACATCTCCTTTCACAGCTGTGCAGGGACAGAAGGCACACAGCAAGGTGCATGGGCAGCAAGGAATGTGAACAGAAAGGGACATGCAAATTGAGCCAGGGACTTTGCAGGTCAGGGTAGGGTGTTCCGCTGCTCCCAGACCCACATCCACAAGACATTTGTAGTAGAAGAGACTTAAGAGCTATTGTTTCCCTTTGTCTTGTATTCAGAAACGTTGGGAACAGACAGTCCTTAGTGGAGGATGTGTCTCAGAAAGACCTTTTGTGGAAGAAAGAAATTATTTTCATGTCTTCATTTATAAATCCTATTTTTTTCTTTCAGACAGGGTGTCAGTCTCTCACTCAGGCTGGAGGGCAGTGGCATGACCATACCTCACTGAAGCCTCTATCTCCTGGCTCAAACAATCCTCCCAATGTAGCCTCCGCAGTCCCTGCTACTACAGGTGCAGACACCACATCTGGGTAATTGCTTTATTTATTGTTTACGTAGTGGTCTCACTACCTTGCCTATGCTGGTCTCAATATCCCGGGTTCAAGTGATCCTTGGCCAGTTTTATAAATGCTTTTATTAATCACTTTGTTCTCTGGTTCTGGGTTTTCTGCCATGCTTCCAATGGATGTAATCGAATACATTTTCTGCAGACTAAATACATTCACACCTGTTTCCTCTTTTTCTTTTCTTTTTTTTTTTTTTAGGTTGTGTTACTTCACATATAAATCTCTGGACTGGTAACCGATTTGCCTGAATATACCTGTAGGTCCTTCAGACAGTGTATGTTTCAGCAATACCCAGAGATTCTGATTGTAGGCTCTAGGCTCAGTTATGACCAGAAACCAAGTCCTGCCAGTCTCCTACCTCAAATATGTGTTTGTGTATTGACCTGATCCCTAGGACAAGTTTCCCAGACTGAAACCATGGTATCGTAAAGCCAGATGCTTTCTTGAGGGGATGGAGTAACATCCATATTTTCAAACGCTGCACAAATAATTAATGGATGAAAAAAATGTATGCAATAATGTAAAGCAGAACAGTAGGAATTTAATTAATACAGGGTCACCAAATTTTGCTTTCACAGGTCTGGTCGTAAATATTTCATTCCTTGTAGGTCCTGTAGTTTTTGTGACATGTTGTTAGAAATAATACTTTTAAATAGAAAAAAAATGTGTTTATCTCAATGACTATGCAAAACAACACATGGGATGTATTTAGAGCTCAAGCTGTACTCAAGCCCCTGGATTATGTTTTACTTCAAATATTTGAATGCTGTATTTTTGTACCAGTAGTCAAAAGAGCAACAAAGGAGAGATCTACCACCAGATGAGACTTAGAAAACCTCGAGAGAAAGTCACTGTAGCCCTGAGGATGAGAAAAAGCCTAATAATCTATAAGTTTATCTTTTGCTTTGATTTGTTTTTAGATCATGAGCGACCTAGGTAACCAGGCAGCCTTGGAAACTGATACAAAAGGGTGACCAGTCCCTCTGAGGAGACATGAGACACACAAACCGCATTACCTCTGGCAGAGCATGTGTGGAGGTGACAGTCTTAAGAAGGGCTAAGAAGGAAATCACTGAATATGTTACACATTCATAAAGTTCAAACACAGGGAATTGAGAGAGCTGGAATCCTGGGAGGTCTCAGACACACGTGGAATTCACGTTCACAGACAGAAAAAGATTCTCTCTGAAAACATCATCGGAGTCTTTAAGAAATAAAAAGCAAGAACGAAAATAACAGATGCTGCTGAGTTTGTGTAGAAAAGGCAACTCTTGCACCCTGTTGGTTGGAGTATAAATATAAATAAGTTCAACAGTTTTGGACAGGAGTGTGGCAATTCCTCACAGACCTAAGAACAAAACTACCATTTGACCCAGCAATCCGATTGCTGTGACTGTACACAAAGCAACATAAACCTTTCTATTAAAAAGACACGTGCACGCATATGGTCATTACAGCGCTTTTCACGATAGCAAAGTCACGGAACCCACCTAAATGTCAATCAGTTATCGGCTCAACTTTTTAAAATGTGGTACATATACAGCGTGGAATACTATACAGCTATAAAAAGAGTGAGATCATGTGCTTTGCAGGAACATGGATGGAGCTGTAGGCCCTTATCCTTAGCAAACTAATGCAGGAATAGAAAACCCAGTACCACATAAACTCACTTATAAGTGGGAGCTAACAGATGAGTACACACGGACACCCAGAGAGGGCCACCACACCAAGGCCTATAAGAGGGTGGATGCTGGGAGGAGGGAGAGGATCAGGAAAAATAAGTAATTGGTACTGACCTTAATACCTGGGTGACAAAATAATCTGTACAGCCCCGTGACATGAGTTTACCTATATTACAAACCTGCACATGCACCCTCGAACCTAAAATAAAAGTTAAAAGAAAAGTCACAAAAAAAGTGAACTATTCTGACCTTTCTACTTAAAAATTATCAATTCATTTCTTTTTATAAAAATGAGGAAAGTAGGAAGGGAGAGAGGGAGGAAGGGAGTGAGGGAGGGAGAGAGAAAGAAGGACAAAGGGAGAAAGTGAGAGAGGGAGGAAAGAAGGAAGGCAGGGATGGAGGCAGAGAGGAAGGGACGGAGGGAGGAAGAGAGGGAAGGAGGAAAAATTAGGAAGGAAGGAAGGAAGGAAAGGAAGGAAGGGAGGAAAAGTAGGGCTGAACAAACATTTCCGTCTCTGGCCAAACGGCTAAGTACACTTTAGCCACTTAAGTGACAAATAACATAACTCGGAGGATTTTAGTCATCTCCACATACAGCCTTTCAAAATTTATTCCAGCTGTTGTTTCTAAGTAATTAAAACCTGCCTTGGGCTCCACTGAATCCATGTATTCAGAAGGGCACCTCTCCCCTGGATTAACAGCCCAGCTGAGGACCAACACAGACTGGTTAGTTTGGGAAGAAAAAAAAAGAAAAATGCAGGAGACCAACATTTCCTCCCCCATAATATTGTTTTCTTTACTTTTCTTCCTTATTCCACAGAAGGATATTGGAATCCCCAAATTTCAAAGATACGAGAGCTCTGAGAGCTCATCCTACATGATTGTTTTTCAAAGAATTTTTAGCAACAGAATACTTTTGTGTAATGGACGTTTATCCAAACCCCTAGTGTAAAAAATGGAGGGATAAAATATATTTTTCATATAAATGTACCACTTTAGTTTCAAGATATGTTCTATGAAAGCTGTCAAAGAGTTTGATTGAGGTTCTTTTGAAGAACCTGGCAAATTATTCTGTGGATTTCTGCATAACACTTTAGTTCTATATTAACTTCTGCATCTAATTTTTTGGCATTTCTATTGTTGTGGCACAGTTGCAAGAAGATGTTGATTTTTGCAATATGTTTATCCGTAATCTACATCTAGAAAAAAAGAACCACACTGTAAAAATAAATAAGTTGTAAGTAAATGATGGAAGATTTATCCTGCAAATAGTAATCACATAAACAAAAAGTGTCAGATTAACACCTCACAAAGCACAATTTATAGTAGAGATTTTTTTTGTAATTTAGGTTCTGGGATACATGTGCAGATCATGCAGGATTGTTGCATAGGTACATATATGGCAAGGTGGTTTGCTGCCTTCATCCCCCCATCACCTATATCTGCTATTTCTCCCCTCATTATCCCTCCCCAACCTCCCCACACCCTGCTGTCCCTCTCCTAGCCTTCCCCTACTGACCAAAGTGTGTGATGCTCCCCTTCCTGTGTCCATGTGTTCTAACTGTTTATTACAAGGGACAAAGTGGGATATTACATAAGAATCGTAGAGAAGTGCTATGATACAGATGACAGAAGAGCCATGAATATGTGTGCGCCTCAAAATGCATGAGAGAAAACTGATACATTACAAAAAAGAAATAAACACATGTACATTTAGGAGAAAACTTCAACATTACTCCCAGCAATTGGTAGGAAAAGTATACAAAACAATCAGGACGTATAAATGCAGAAGGCTTGAACAACACTATCAAACAACATGGCCTACTTGATATTCTTAGACCAACAGCAGCATGCACATTCTTCTCTAGTGCTCATGGAATGTTCACCAAGATAGACCATATTGTGGACCAAAAAACGGATATCGACAAATTCAAAAGGAAGGAAATGTTATAAATCATGTTCTATAACCAAAAATAATTGAAATAAAAATTAGTTGTAGAAAGTGGGGTATTATGAAAAAAGACCTTAATAATGTGGCCATTGAAATTAGACTGTTAGTGTACTTTGTGTACTTAGTGACAATTTATTCTTTCAGGATTAATTACCCATGGGCTCATCAGCACCTTTGTAAATAAAGGGGGAAAAAATCACATGGCATCTACGAAGTGGAAAGATCAGGAAGTACAGGGAGACCACAGCACGATGGCGCTCCTCTTGTTTCAAATAGAATCTATGTGGTGAAGTACCCACATCCCTCCCTCTTCCATCAATATTCTCATCCTACTCCTGACTGTTCCCTCTTTAGGTGGGATTTTCTAAATAGTATTGTCATCAAGTGTTGGTGGGGATGTTGCAACTTGAGGGTAT